ACGTTCAAAACTCTTGAACGGTGACTTTTGAAAGTTTCATTTTTTGAATGGTTGGAAAAAGATTGTGCGGTTTACGGTATTGGGGTTTATTTACCCGTGTGGTTGATCAGTACTTGTTTTCCGTTTAAACGTTATCATCACAAAAATGAGAACCTACATCGTAACTAGAAATATAGTTCCCTCTCAAATATCAAAGAAGAATGTTATCTTGACATTCAGCTGGATAATTAGAGGGAACATTGGTCTAATATAAAAATGATATAAATTGACTTGTTAAGAGTTACAACAGCAACATAAAAAATATGTGGAATATCATTTGATAAATTTGAGAATTGATTCCAAGCGTTGATGACCTCCGATGTATATCGAATGATTACTGTCAGATAGTCATAAAAATCATATTGTAATTCGTAAGAAAAAAAATATAGAAATGAAAATGACATTTTTGCAGGTGATTTTTTACGACAGTGATTGGAATCCAACAGTAGATCAGCAGGCAATGGACAGAGCCCACAGATTGGGCCAGACGAAGCAAGTGACCGTTTACAGGCTGATTTGCAAAGGGACAATCGAGGAGCGAATTCTGCAAAGGGCACGTGAAAAAAGTGAGATTCAACGTATGGTAATAAGCGGTGGTAATTTCAAGCCAGACACATTGAAGCCAAAGGAAGTAGTCTCACTCCTGCTGGATGACGAGGAGATCGAGGCGAAATGTGAGTTTCACGATAACTATATCCTTAAAAAAAGAAAAAAAAATTTTGGTGATGACATATGGTTGAGTTCGCACGTATATACAAAAGGAGACTGTTACCCCAATTATACATTATGCTCGTTGGTTATGCTAATGCCCTAATAACGAATAATGATAACACCCAAGTAACGAAACGAGGTGGGCCCCCATTGGTGTATCGAAGGGGGTCCACGTACGTATATTTCAGACAGTCAACGGAGCGAGGAAAGAAAGCAGCACATTACTCTAGAGGATACTCGAATGGACTCGAGTATACAATACAAGGAAAAAGAACGGAAAAGGAAGCTAACCGCGGTTCCGGTCAAGGTAACACTCGCGCCCTTTCACAATTCAATCAGTCATTCACATTTATGCATATTAATCCAAATATCTACGAAGTACTTATTAATCATATCTTAAGGTTGATATCAAACGTCCATGCCTCGAGGACAATGCCGTGGAAAAGTTGAATGAAGTTTCACCTATAATTTCTACCGGTGAACAGACAAGTCCTACTCAGCAAAACAATGATCAACAGACGGTGGAGAGTAATGAGGATTATGGAGTTCCTGTCAGTCCCATTAAATCTGAGGTATGATATAATTCTTAAAATTATAGGAATGAGGGAAAAAATGTTTTCCTTCCCACGATACCATAATTCAACTTTTCTACTGTTTGAAAATAATTGGAAAAAATAAGGAAAACGATTTTTTGAGAAAAAGTAAGGAATGTTGATCAGTTGGGGACAGATATATCGAATGTTTCTGTCACTTTTCTTTGCATCTATTCCTCAAATTCCCACTCCATGACCGCTAACATTATTAGCAATATCCACATAATTATTAACATTAATACATTAATATGAACATTAACAAACAGTGGATGGGACGACTAAATTCAATCAATACCAATAGTAATCCAATAAAAAATCAATTTCTAATCGATAATCATTTCAACAGAAATAAAAATATTTTACAAATTAGTAATATTGAGATCTAGAATTTCTGGTGCTGAATGGATTGTTGATTGACAAATTGAAAATATAAAGACAAATATTGGGGAAGATAATACTAGTTGTTGATCTCTGATCACGAATGAATCAATGGTCTGGGATAACGAAATTGAATGAATTTATTTAAGATTTGTTTTCTTTGCACTGTATTCGTATAGTAAAGGGAATATACTGGAGCGACTGAAATATGCCCTCTCGATTACCAAGATATTTTGAAAGCGTTTATATCCAAGGAATACGCACTCATCTTATAATGTATTTTCGGAAAATTTTGGTCTCCAGTCTATTTAAAATGTTCACGTAAATGCAAGTTATTTCATGATAAATTTCAAGATTTTCATGACATAGATATAAGATAATATAGATTTGAATGATTGGTGTTTATGACGTGTGTAGGATGAAACGAGTAATGAAGGCCTCGTAGTAGATGTTGATGGGCCAATTCATGGTGCAAATTCTCCACGCCATGTACGCGGCATTTCCTTCAATGAACCTCCAAAAGTCTCAAAACTCGGTCATCACTTCAATTTTGGAAATGTTCCAAGAGTACGTACGGCAATTCGAGGTACAAGTAAACGTGGAAGACCTCGGGGTTCTCGACGTGGTGGTCCAGTTGGTGGCAAAGGCAGGGGAATGCTGCTGCAACATCCACTCGGCTCGTTACCAAATTCACCTGGTTCATCGCAATTTCTCGCCTCCTCGTCGACTAGCGATCGGATATCTCATCACGGTAAGCAAACATTAGATAAAAAAGAATGAAGAGAAAAAATACTGCAAGCATGTTGTGTAGTCCTATGCACCTGCGGATCATTCGTGACATTCGCGTGCCGTAGAGTTAATGCCGATCATTTCGGTTGGATGATCTCAAAAAGGAGAGTATAAAAAAATGCCCACAAACACCCATGATGATCTTTAAAGAGGGTTCGGTGGTCCGATTACTCGGCTGACGTTTCAAGATCGATCGGTTCCATTTGCGTTTATTTCTTTTCATGTCATCTCAAACAGTCAGTTTCCCTTTACAGCCACTTGGTAACATTCTCATGGGGCTAACATGGGGTTTATACTGGCCCACCCTAAATTCTCAACACAATTCATCGCTCCCCAATTTTTTTTTTGTCTCACTTTGATACATGAAACACTGCCGAGTGCCAGATTCCCTCGCGACCACATGTGCTCGGACAAGTGCTTTAAACAGTTGCGACTTATTCCCCTGACACTCTTCTCGGCTCCCCGATGGATCCGTGAATAAAAATTTCCACCGCTGCCACTGCAAACGAATCTGCTAACTATCCTTCAAATAAAAACTCCCCTAACCCACTATCCAACAACCCCTCAAAAATATTTCGTGACTCACTAATCTTTGATAATCCCTTAAATTTTTTGCCCTTCA